TCCCCTATTATAATGTTTCTCATCAATATATTACAGGTCTCAGATATATACAGACATGTCTCTGAAGTGTTTGGCTCCAAACACCAAACAGATCATTGCAGCATTACCCATAATCCCCTCTGTTTCAGCCCGGTTTCAAAAGTGCTGATTCTCTGTCTGTTACTTCAGATGAAAATAAGGAGCCACTCCCCACGCCCCTCTGAGAGACATTTGGTTACAAAGAACACAATGGTGCTCTAGGAGGAGATTCAGGTGATAAGGTGGGGGGGGGGGGGGTACCCTTGGTCGCTGATGGGCTAAAGGTTTACACAAGACAAAAAAACTCGTTATGACATCATAAAGTGGGCCAAATCTGATCAGCTCATTTCCAGACAGGTTTTATAGAAATGGATCAGGGACAAAAAGAGAGAGAAATCTTTGTTCCTGAAACTTTCAGAGTCTCTTTCCAACAGAGGGGACACATGTTGATGTAGAAGAGACATGAAGACAGAGGGGACACAGTTGATGTAGAAGAGACATGAAGAAGAGGGGACACATGCTGATGTAGAAGAGACATGAAGAAGAGGATTTTGCATTATAGGTGACCTTTAATGTCGGATTAAGAGACCCCTAGTGGCCAAAACATGACATGCGTTTAACATCCCCACACATATCCACCCGTAAACATTGGAAACGTACTGCCAAGTTAAGCACATCAGACGTCAAGATAAATGACAACAAAGAAAAGGTTATATCTTGTGTCTGTGAGTTTCACGGTCCAGCTTTGTCTCACCTCTCGAAGACATATCTGAGGGCGATGAAGGCCGACGGCCAGGGGCAAACTGAAGAGCAGATCCCTGGGCCGAGGAAAAGGCGCTCCCTCCTCCTCCTTCATCTCAGTGTCCTGGCCTGCCAGCTGATGCCAGGAGGAAAGCCCGAGTACTCCTCTTTCCACAGCCACTCGTTAAAAAAGCCCTCCATCCTGAGGAGAGGAGGAGTTTCAATGTGAAGCAGAACTGGACCTGTTTAAACATTGATGCCCTCATAAATATTAAAGCCAAACAGCAGCACAGGACCCTTAAGATCTTAAAAGCCACTTCCGAACAAAACAGCCTCTTGTTTACGTTGATTAAATTAACTTGTTAATCTGCAGTTGGTTTTCCCAATGTCTTTTCCCAATATTATAAAATAGTGAGGGATAGATTTAAAATTTCAAATGCTCAAAAGGATTATCTTCTATTTCCTCGTATCTGACAGACAGTAAACACCCCCAAATATTAGCATATTCTACAGTAATATATGGTCTAGGAAAAAGCAGCTAATCCCTTTTCCAATCCTTAATCAGTGGGACTGCCCATTCGTTTGGTCGAGTATGTCGAATAACCGTTACACATCAATCGTTCCGAAGATTTAGTGGTTTAAGCCATTTTTTGGAAATGCCTAATGCTAATTATTTATTTTTCTAAGAATCCAGGACCATATCTCAGTTATACCACAATATAGAGACTTCTTGCCCAGATCTGAGATTAGCTCACTAAAAGAATTCCGCTTGATTTGAGGGCCAGCCCCAAAATTTAAGAAATTAATGCAGAAGTATATTTGGGATTTTTACCGAAAAATCGAAAAAGTCAACTAAAATCAACTAATCGACTAATTTTGTCTTATCTTAAACCGCCATGTTATAGTCCATTAGTTTGGCCGGGAAGAAGGTTAGAGTTAACAACAGGAAATCCATACAGCATACCTAGGCTGGCACAACGTCGAGTTCACAACACCTGAACATTCAGCCTTAATGCATGAATGACTTGTTAAGTATCTCAACAACACACACACGACACAACACACACACACAACACACGACACACACACACACACACACACAACACACAACACACACACCACACACACACACACACACACACACACACACACACACACACTTAATGCTCGGTGACACCTGGCACATAACACAGAAACAAATGCGATAAACACTCTAGACAGACACCAAACACACCAGCAGATCGATTGAGTTTAAAATCGCTTCTTCTAGCGACACAAGAATTGCAGCTGTACAACATGATATCTTCCATGCTGCACAGACCATACAATCGAGTCAAACAGAGAACACCTGCGAAAATCCTTCTCTACAGGACACACCAGGGATTTATACACTAAAAAAGCCTGAGTTATAATAAATCCATGAAGTCTTGCAGCAGGAAGCCCTCTCAATCCAGCAGAACAGCCTCGAGTTAAAGAGGACAAATCCACATTTTAGATATTCAGAAACGATTGTAAACCTGCCGTTTTTACTCCAAAACAGTAAATAATATGCTCCATTGCGCTTACCTGTCCACGATCTTTGATGGAGAGTGGCACAGCAGCAGCAGAAGCGGGAGAGGAGGAGGAGGAGAGAGAAGAGGAGGAGGAGCCAGTTTGACGCAACCTGTCACCCAGAGGGGTCAGCTCCCTGTCACCCTGCATGAGATATAGCCATGGTATGCTAATCATTGTCCCTAGCAGACAAACATGATGGCAGTCAGGGTGCAGGGATCATGGTGGATGTTACAGCAGCTGCAAGAGCTCTGACCTAGAGGGGGTGACCTTTACTCCGCCCCAGCGCCCTCAGGAAGAAATCCCCTCGGGATTATAAAAGAACCCCCGACCATCACGCCAGGCCAAAAATTGTTTCTGTCTGCTGCGTCTGGGAGGCGGCAGCCGCAGCATACCACAGGGCATAAGACACACCTGAACTGTGAAACAAATTTCCGCTAATATTCATCGGCTCTTCTACTTAAAAAATAAATGTATATATTGTACGCAAGTACAGTCCTATTTCAATTAACTCGCATAGTAAACCCTTATTGCCTATTTCACTTTTTTAAAACTATTTTTCTTTTGTATACTATTCTTGGCACTAGTATTTTTCTGTTTATCTGTGTTATTGCGTTGGCTCCTGTTGGAGAAGCCTGGTGACACACAAGATTTTCATACGCCCATAACACTGTAGGGCTATGTTGCGTATGAGCAAAATAAAGAACCTTGAAACCTTGGTATTCATTACAAATGTGGAATTATACTCAGTTTGTGCTACAAAAAGCCAAAAGGCTTAAAACAAGGTTTTTGATTTGATTTTAAATATTATCTTGTTCAAAATCAATGTGATATTAACACACATTTTTGCTTTATTTATTTATACTACGCTTGTAGCTCTTGAATACATATTTTGTTTAGTAGTAGAAGTTTTTTATTATATATTATGATCAGTAATTATTATTTTAAAGTTATTATATCAATACTTTTTAGCGAATTGTTATTCAGTACCTACCTTTTTAAACTTTTGACTTAGGTATTCTTCAAAATTTTGTTTAGCTGAATCATTTTATTTATATATATTATCCAAAAATAATCTAATGCTTCTTTTTTTATGCTGCTTTATATTCAACTAAGTTATGATCTCTTTTTGCTGCTCAATTTTTCAAAGCACGCTTCTTTATTATAAGTGGAAGGAAGGAAGGAAAGGAAGGAAGGTAACAAGATAATTGGAGATCAAGTCTCAATCATAATAGGGTTTTGGCAGAAATAGAAGAAAAGTTAATAACGTGTGAAATTAAATATTCGGTTGGACAGGCTTTTTATTTTAACCGGTATGGCACATCATACACTTCCCACAGAATGAGGATATTACTCGTGAGCTATTCTGTCAAAACTATGAACTTTTACCCATGGTTCTTTCATGGCACCAGTTATTATCGTGAACTGTGTATTTGTTTGTAGGCCTTTATTTAGTCCAGGTAAAAATCCATTGAGACCGGCTGCCACACCATCGGTTTACAACCATGTAACAGAAAACAAAAAAGACACATACAGGCATAATGAAGAGGGGTACATTTACAAGACGTATCAACAAAGACAGGTAGCCAGGGGTATGCAAATCAATTCGCTCAAGCCGTGCTTTAAAATGAATGCAGGGAACCAAAATGCTCAATTTTCGATAGTTTTGGCAAGTGTTCCAAAGGCTAGAGGGCTAGCGCACATATAAAAGCTTTAGTGGGGGCCTAAACTAGTCCCTAGGCAGCTGGCACATGTAAAAAAACCCCCATCCTGGGATCTCCAGCGGCAATAGCTAGGCTTGGCCACTCTCTGTGATATCAGCTGAGCAGATGTGAGGTGGTAGTTTACCCAGCGTGGCCCTTAAATAAATGAACATTGTTTACCAATGACTGACGCCTGCCTAACAGTGAGTGAAGGCAGACGCTGGCCCTTGGCATAACCAGGGTACCAGTGATATAAGTGCTTTACAGTTAGTAACAAATCTCAGGCGAGCTGTTGATAGGCCGGCATCTAACTTGTATCAGGTAATGGCATGGTGGCATTCATAGAGGTCAGATCACGCATAGTCCAGCACCCCAGGTAGCAAAGGTCACATAGACCTTTTCCTTGCTCAAGCGAGAACAGGAACTTGTTTCTGAAAAAGAAACGAGGCTTCACCCTCACTTTCTAAGGGCAGATTATTGAGCCTGAAGTTTCAAAAGAGAGACAATGCATTCAAGGCCGATAGCCAAGGTGTGTTAATAAACAGGTAACCACTTCAAGTACTTTCATTAGATAGTAAGCAATATCCAAAGTGGTCTGCCCGGTGTCTTTTTGGCTTTTTGAAAAAATAGCCATACCTAGTTTTTATCCACATATTAAACTTTATTGAGGAATTTTGCTGNAACACATACAGTGGGGCAGAAAATTATTTAGTCATCCACCAATTGTGCAAGTTCTCCCACTTAAATATACATAGGATGAAAATTACAGGCCTCTCATCTTTTTAAGTGGGAGAACTTGCACAATTGGTGGATGACTAAATAATTTTCTGCCCCACTGTATGTGTTTGTTGCATGTACTCTCCAAAGGTGATCTGGTGTATCACATTTCAGTCACCTTTTTTCATCCAAGGACTTGTTTTCAAGTTATTGAAAATAGACTTCTCATTTACCCGAAATCTGCCGCTGCCCCCCTCTTGCTCCTCTCAGGGATTCTTATAGCGCACTACCTCCAGTCCATCACGCCGGCCCTGGCTCTGGGTGGGGAGCTGGTGTACCACAGCAGGCCGGGGGAGGAGGGCTCAGTCATGTCTTTAGTGGGCAGATACACAGGTGAGGCTGCTTACTGTTCAAAAGTAGAATCAAATGAAGTTGGCCTACACTTCCATAATGTAGTTTTTCATGTGGTTAAACCAGCGCGCTGACTTGTCCCCCTCTGTACAGGAAGTAACTACATCGCCACATTGACCGTGGGCTCAGCAGGGGCTCACGCTTCATACTATCACAGAGCTAACGAGCAGGTACTTTCTCTCCTGTATTGCAGTCTTAGCATGTATAAAATGCAAGCAATTTGTGAAAGAAAAATGAAAATGCTTAACTGGCCTCCTATGTGTTTTTGTTAGTCTTAGTTTTCTTTAATTACTTAACAGTTTTTTGTTTTTTTCCCTTGCTGTGCTGAAGGATGTTTTTATAAATCCTTATTCATCGTCCTCTAATCATCTTCTCTTCTACAGTTGCAGCTGGGCGTGGAGTTGGAGGCCAGCACCCGCATGCAGGACACCAGCGTGTCGTTCGGCTACCAGCTAGATGTGCCTAAAGCCAATTTACTGTTTAAAGGTAAGAAAAAACTAAGTATCGGCCTCAAAAAATACTTTTAGTACCAAAAGTGAAAGTGGTCTTTTGCAGAATGGCCAAGTAAAAAAAAAAAGTGTTTATTATGTGATTATAATTTATTTGTATAATATATTGTAAAGGGGAGGCTTATTTTCTTTATTTAACACACTGTTGGTTAGCTCAACATGAATTAAATCATAATCAATAATACAAATGTTAATCGCATGGAGAAAAATATTAGTTTAAACCTAAATATAATTTGAAATGAAGTATTATGGATCTGCAGAGATATCCCTTTATCTTTTAGTATTCTAAAGACATGTATGTTTGGTACAGATTCTTTAAAAACAAATGACTTGATGATAACGAGCTATGATGCACAAATGATCAATCACACATGAATAATATCACAATTGCAATTCAAGTAAAAATAATCACAAGTAATTATTTCCAACTCTTGCAGTCCTTGTTCTCATATCTGATGGAATGACTCTCATTCTAATGATGCATCCCCTCCCTCCTCCAGGCTCATTAGACAGTAACTGGGTGGTGGGGGCCACGTTAGAAAAGAAGCTGCTCCCCCTGCCCCTCTCTCTGGTCCTCTGCACCTTCCTCAACCACCGCAAGAACAAGTTCCAGTGCGGCTTCGGGGTCACCATCGGTTAGACTCCGCCCACCGACAGACTCAGAGCGGACAGCAGCACCACCATGTCCATCTTTCATCTGTCACTCCATTCTGACAATATCGTGCTCTAAGTTTCATCACATGGTGAACAGAAGGTAATTTAAATCTGATGCATTTAAAACTGTACGATTGAATAATGATCAGAAGTGAAACAAATAATGTGATTGGTCAGGAATATTTCGACTGTGGACTCCGGACACAAACCAATAGACTGTAGAGGTGTTGTCACATGGAGAGACATCACAGAGCTCTTCGTTTTTGTCCCTGAGTTCAGTGCCTGTCGCTCTAGTCTTGAGTTTTATTCCTGTTTTTTTACTGTTAGTCTGTTTTGGCGTGCGGTGAATGAAATCGTTGTGTTTGTTAAAAGGTGATTTATAAGTTTAGCAGCCAACAGGAGGGGGCGGTACTGCATGTCACGTTCAAAATCCATCACTTGTTTTGCCTTTTTTATGTTACTTACATATGGAACAGTATATATGACCTGTATATACCTCTTGGAAACTGATAAATACCATTTCTTACAGAAAACCTTTGTCTTGTTTCCTTCAATCAAACTTGACTGTGTTGGAGTCTGAGTTTATGAGTTCTATAAAGGCTGCTCACTTAAGTTTACATTTTATTCGTTACATTTGGGAAAATATTTAATTTAATCCAAGGTTAGAAATATCCTTGAATTCAAATCTACTAAACTTAATCTAGACCAGTGGTTCTCAACTGGTGGGTCGCGGACCCGTTTCAAGTTGGTCGCAGATGTGAGGGAAGAAAAATAGAATTGAAAAATAAATTAAAAAACTTTTTGGGGAAAAAGTCAAACTTTTATTTTGAAGGCCCGATTTTCTAACGCTGTGCATGCAGTCGGCGTTGGACTGAAAGTACCGGAGACCATAAACGGTATT